ACACCAGCCCATCAGGGCATCACTGTCTCGTGAAGTTTGATGCTGATAAATGTATATGACAACATTTATGACAACATTTATACACCTCATCCAGCTATGCTGATCAGCGCTCACGTATTTTTATGTAAGAACAATGATTCTTATGTGTGTTATAACCCTCGCGCTTCGTGTTTGGGCTTCAACGAACCCCACGGGATTTGGTTACCAATTACACAAAAAAATTTATTTAAAAAAAAAAACCCAACAAAAAAACACGTGTTCTTGAATGAATCTATACGCCATCATCAAACGTTGAGTCGCCTGACACATTGCGGTTCTATCATCAAGGTCAATGTCGTAGATCGATATTTTGACATTTCTCTCACATTTTCTCTTCTACGACGTTTATGCCATTTAGGATTATCGGATAAACTTCACATCTTACACATCATCATTAGAAGGCGAATCCCACTGTTTCTTCCAACTATAAAGGAAAAATAACGACACGGTATTGTAAGTTTTTCCCCTCACCCCACCCCCATTCCACTCTATAACTTTTAAGCTATGAAATGTTTTATACTTAGACATTTACTTTAGAAGGTGCGTCGTTTAGGATGTTTGGGTCTTATTTTCAATATCAAGGTTTCGGCTGGATATTTTCAGTTTTGCATCGCACTTTGCATCAGGTGTTTAACTTTAGAAGAGATGAAGATTACGGGATGAAAGTTTACTTCAGGTTTCTTGTATCAGATTTGTGATCCTATCCGCAAGGTCAAGGTCAAAGGTCAATATTAATCTGTCCATCACACTCTTTGCCCGTTTTATAACCTAAGAGCCAAATTAACTTTACGGACGGACCTTTGTATACGTATATATTATCATTAAAATTTGTATTATGTACCACTTTGAAGGTTGTCTTTTCAAGGTCATAGTCATGATTCAGCTTTTTTAAAATTATTTTAGCACATTTCGTTCCTCCTAATACATTAAGAGCCGTTTCAGATTAAGTAACCTTGAATATTCATGACATTATTAATAGCATGTGTGTCGTAATGGAGTAGATTGTGCATTTTCTGTAGAACATGTCTTGCATTCCATGTTTAGGGTGAAATATTCAAGATCAAGGTAACATGTATATATTTCATAGTTGCGTTTGTTTTTTCTTTACCTCTTATAGCTGCGTCATGTCTGTATTTGATGGCATTTCATACGTCACAGTCAAGGTTTTACATTGAAAATCAGGGTCGCTTATATTTTTCCGCCTTTTCTGTACTTTTACTCTCATGTCCTTTGAGACAGTATAATACTTGGTTCCTTTCCATGTCAGCCTAATACCTCCAGAGTTCTGTCGAAATAGTAGTAAGATTTCATCACTATACTTTTCTGTACTTTTCGCAGTCTCACCACATAAGGCAGGCTGACACAAATTCATTGCATTTGCTTGTTACCTATCCATTTTTAGTCTTTGACAAATTATTAATTTTTATATAAAATTTGAGATATCCAGAAATTTTTTAACCTGCTCAGTTAACTTATCCAGAATTGTCAAATGAATCAAAATTTGTGTCCTATCTTTCAATAGTCGACAAGCAAGCACTTAGGGAAAATTTAAACATCGACCTTATTTTACAAACTTTGTATCAATCTCAAATATCTTTTATCACTCAGTCTCAGGTATGTGGGGCTCTGGTATTGGGTAAGTAATCTTTGAAGTTGTGAGAAAAACTGAGAGGTACAGAGGAAACAAAAGTCATCAGAGTTCCAATAAATAAATTTAATAAATAAATGTATGAACAGAAAAACGAACAAATAAAGAAATAAATAAACTTCTGTAAACAAAAATCGAGCTAGAATTTTAAAAAGTTGGACTTATTATATTTGTCCTTTGAAAATATATAAAGTCGCCTTAAATTCAAAATTATCTCCAAATTATTTGCTGTACATAAATACAAACGTTCACAGTTGTCATAAGAGGTTAATATTGTTTCTAATTTAATTTCAGCAAGTTGTTTCGTTTTACTGATATCCAGCCGAAATTGGCAAGCCAGTATTACGAGCCAGGACCTAGTAAAATGTCTCCCGATTAGTTTTGTTAGTAGGATAAACCAACAGAAGCAGACAACCAGACCAACAGGCATCAAGAGAAAAAATAAAGCATTTAAGTACTTACACTAAGGTCTCACTGAATATTTTTGTATTATGATCCACCCACCCACACCCCCGTTTATTTAATAATCATGAGCCTTGTGTTTATAAATTCACACAAAAACTAAATCTGAAATTTGGTTTCTATTTACAATGAATTGTGCTTGAAAATGGATTGGCTTGTTTACGAACTGCCTTTTTGCAGTTAGACGAGCGTTGAAGTTTAAATCGGGACTCGGTTAAAACTACTACTTCTGGGTCAGTGCCCACGAATGTAATCCCAGACTAATTTTAGATCCATTTTTCATCGATCAATTTGGTGGTGATGCATAAATTAGAGTTGGTCGTATTTTTTATTTACTCAGAGGAAATTGTTTATTCTTTATGACATTATGATGCGGTTATCTGTGTGTATTTTGGCGATAGTGCACAGTGAGTAATGAGGCACTATTGCTTGTAAGGAGAAATCTTTGATACACAGCACGTTGTTTTGTTTACAGTCAAACATCTAAAAACCTGCATGACAAGAATTTGGCGATAAGTTCATATCTGAATATGCTTTACATTAACATATAATTTATTAGGATTTGGACACAATGAAAAGTTCAATACAGGCGAACAAATGTAGGAACTACGCATAAAAATCGCTGTAATCTAAGTCCTGTTAGTGCTATTGTCTTTCAAATTTAAATTGAAATCTCAAGTATGTTATTAATGGCAGGCACACGAAATTTTGATATTTGTATATATTAACCTTAAAATACAACTATCAAACATATAATTTAAATATTTAATTGTTACTTCCAAAATTTAATTTTTTAAAATATTCGAAATAGGTTGCTGTGTATAATCTCAAAGTCTTTGATGCTCATTATCAACACGACGTATGTGTTGCTAGACCATATAACAGTTCAAACTGTGGATAATTTACAAATTCTGTCAGAAAAAAATATTTTAAAAAAATCAGAATGAGGTCTTTATTCGAAACGTGACATCTTTCTAGTTGATATTGTGTCGTTAAGTATGGATCCAAGTAATTTTTGTGTTTTTAATGAGGTGTTTATATGAATAACACTTATATGTTTGTATGGCTGTCAGTAATTGTTTATAAACGTGGTTACCATGGTACGTATTGAGAGGATGGAGATAATGACTCTGTTGCTGAACTTACTCAGGATGTACACGGATTTATTTTAAACTGTCAGAGAATGAAAAATATTAAGAGAAATATAGTTGATATGATCAAATGTACTTTCCTAAGTTCTGTTTACCTTAAATGCAGGGATACGGTCAAATGTTTAGATATTTTAGAATGTTTTGGATCATAATTTGACCTTCAGTACATTTGACCTTCATGTTTTGGATCATAATTTGACCTTCAGTACATTTGACCTTCATATAAAGTCTAACTGTACCTATGACTGATTTGTGACATGGCTGTCTGTATACACTTAAAACATCCCGTTAATTCAATCATGAACTGTCTTTTGTATTCATATATATTTAATTTGACGCGAAATTGTAGCAATGGCTGATATTACAATATAACGAATCATTCTGCTTAATAATTGTCAACTGACAGTCTTAAATTACGCAATAAATGTTCAAACATATTATTTGAATTAAGTTTGCATAGTGTCCAAATCCGAATAAATCATATGTTAATCTAAAGTAACTCCAAAGACGAATTCACGGTGAAGTTATTGTCATAGAAAGTCTGGACTGTAAACAAAGCACCGAGCAATAGGCCACATATTGCACTTCAGTGCCTCACTGTGTATTGTCTAGGAAATATTCACAATCTCAAATTTTAAAGAATAAATAAGTATCTTTAAATAGATATCAATAATGCCTAAATCTAAGAATACATGATTCAAAATAATGTGAGACAATATTCGTGGGCGATAAACCGGAAGTTATAATTATGACCTCAGTCTCATAAGATCAAATTATGTATAGACAATTTTAGTCAATGTTTTATATTTGCATACCTCTCCTATTTAAAATTTACACACAAAGTCTTCTTGAATTTTCGTAGCAAACAAGGTACGTAAGAGCTGTCAGATAGTGTGTAGTTCTGGTGTTCCACATATTGCCAGTTTTGGGACAAGTGCTTCTGAGAAACCAAACTTAATATATTATATCTTCCTTTATTATAGGATTTTTTTTCAATACAATGCAAGCTGAAATGTAATACAAGGTGAGTTTTATCTGAAAGATGATTGAAATATAAAAGCATTGATTAATAAAATTTTAAGCAAAGATTTACAATTAGCAAATTAAATTTTGACGTGAAATTAAATTTTTATGCAAATTTTTAAATTCAAACTGACAAATTTTAGACAGCAGACGGTATTTAAAACACGTGTTAACTTGGTTCAATACAATTTATATCATTATTTTCCTGTGGTGGAGTAACAAGATAGTACACAGCGATTTGTGCAGCAAATTTATATACATATTCAAAACAGCATTTTGAATAGGAGTAAAATAAAGCACAGTATTCGGTCCCTAACAATGATGATGATAATGGTTATTGTGGTGATGGTGTGTGTGTGTGTGTGTGAGAGAGAGAGAGAGAGAGAGAGAGAGAGAGAGAGAGAGAGAGAGAGAGAGAGAGAGAGAGAGAGAGAGAGAGAGAGAGAGAGAGAGAGAGATTTGGATTTTAACGTAGCTTTAACAAATTTCTAGTCGTATTGATGCGATGTCTGCAGTTTGGCAGTTTATAGTGATGTATAACACAGGGACATTATACTATAGACATGTAGCGTCTGTCCCAGCCAGTCACATTATTCTGACACCAGGCCAAACACTAACTCTTAATACTGAGCGCCTAGCAGTGCAGCTGTTAGTACCATATTTATCAGTCTTTGGTATGATTCAATTCGGGTTCGAACCCGAGACCTACTGCATCCAAAGCAGACGCTTTAAGCACTAAGCCACCGGAGCGGTCGATGGTGTTGGTAGTACTGGCTGTGTTTGTAATGGTGGTTGCTGTATTTGTTGTTTTCTGGTTGAAAGTTGCATGTAAAATTCATTACTCTCCAAGGCGTATGCGACGTCTGTCATAAGAAAGTCATGTAAGTTTTTTTTACAATTATCCCTTTCACTTGTTCTCGTTTACTCTCAGTATTGTGCCTTTAAAGCCCCAATATCGCCGTTTAAAAAGAAATCACTATTTTTCCAATCTAACTTAAGTTTGGAAGGAAAGATTGTGTCTTGCAAAACAAATCTATCTGTCACTTATCGTTTTTTCAAGTAATCACAATGTTAGTACTTGAACGATGTTTAAATATTCAGTTTAAATTAAGAAGTCACTCTCAATTTCGTTTCTTTATCGGGAGTGCTTCAAAAATAGATTTAGTCAAGTGTGTCTGTGCCTAATCTAATAAAAGCAACACTCGTACGTGGCGGACAAATTGATTCAAGTGCGACTGCAGATTGACGTGCCTGCTTTAGTAAGGGGATCATCATTGGCAGCTCAGTCCAAGCGAATTGCGCCCTTGAAGTGTCGTCTGTCTCTGGGTTTTTGGCATCGTCTTTTGTGGCTGTGCAGGCCGACGCGCGAGTGACAGTTCCTACTACAATTGATGCAGACGTTCTGGGAAGTCTGAGTTGTTTGGGTTTCTGCTGCACTCTTCTTTCTCTCGCGATTCTCTGCGGCCAGCTGTTGTTGTTGTTGTTGTTGTTGTTGTTGTTGTTGTTGTGGGGTTTAACGCCATTTTTCAGCACAGGAAAGGCTATACATGGCGGCCAGTATTCATGGTGGAGGAAGAAACCGGGAAATCACCGGAAAGAACCACCGACCCACGAGAAGCTACTGGCAAGCTCTCTCACATATCCACATTCGCCGAATCTTAGACTCGAACCCACGCAGATAGAGGTGAGATGACAGTGATCCGTAACGGACAGCGCTTTAGACCACTCGGCCACTCGGAGCCCCAGCTTGATCAGAGAAGACAAAACGTGCAATAGATAAAAATAAGAGGCGGTGACTTTGTGATCGGCTGGATAGCTGGAAAACTTTGAAGTGCAAACTTGGGCTGAAAACATACTAGCTGTTGTGGATTTCCTATATAATTGGAAAGCATATGACATGGACTTGAAAAAAATAATGTACGTCAGTTATGCCTTAAAGAAAAAAATAAACGAGAGGCCGATTACTGCATCTGTATCAAACGCAAAATGGTAATAGCGTACCACATAAGGTTCACCTACCGTATCCGACATAGCGTGGTGGTGGCCTCATTATTTGCAACGATGACGTATCAAATTTTGTGTTCCAGCTCTCAACTAAAATCGGTTGACCCACGGATATCGTCGATAAACATCGGATTAATTCATACGCATGTGATAAATGCCAGTGTTTTTCTTAGTTTGCGGGAGAAATTACATAGGTCATAATGCGTAATGGCACCCAAAGATGTTTAGGATCAGTAACTTTAAAGGTTTTCAATATTATAATTTTTTTGCACGTAACGGCAACATTGGGACTTTAAAATAAAGACGAGTGCATGTAATATAAGGTCTTAATACTCCACCAAATTTTTGAAAAGGTATAATGAATAATAAATATTTATTTTTAAGAGTCACGATTACCTTATGTCTGCCTGTTTTCCTGTGTTTTTTGTCAGTAATATGTCTGAATGGTATCTGGTCAAGCATTTTAAACTATCAGTAACTCTGAAAACAAATTAAAGGATTGATTAAGGTCTTTTAAAGTGCGTAGTATGCAATTTTTGGGACTTTTCTATGTTCATTTCCTCTAAGTGACCGATTATTTCTATAAAATTTAAATGACATGTTTTTCAATACGAAATATTGCATAAAAAGAAAATTAATGGCTTTACACATAAATGTTTTCAAACACTATTGTGTTATGTGACAAGGGCTCGTACTCAGTAACAAAGATAAGAGTGAAAGCGAACAAGCTTTGTATATTTCAACAAAACAATTTATTTCCCTAGACAACGATGTAAAAATTTGTAAATAGGACTTAAAATATGTGAATATAATCCAAAGATAATTCTAAGAATAAAAACAAATCCTATCATTAAATAGTCCTATAGGAATCCATGTTCGAGGCTCGACGACGTATAAATTTGGAGGGCGATGACGTCAGATGTAGTCCAATATACAAAAAACAATAATTCCTCACTTGAATCACAGTCTTTGTTTCCGAATAATTCCAGAATCAATTTCCTTGAATATCTTTCAGATTTTTTTAATAAGAAAATTAACTTGTTGTGTGTCCAGATAAATAAATTATTGAATCTAAAAATCAGAGGAAGTATAAAATATTCTGGCAAGAAATTAAAAATAACACCATGTTTATTTAAGGTTTTGAATGACTCGCCAAACCAACATTAAGAATTAGCATTTAACCTTGAAATATCACTTCAAATCTCGCGAGATTGGTCATGTGGTCTCTTATTACGCTATTTATGTCACGTCCGCAGTACAGACTGACTTAAAAACCAATCATAAAAATAGGTTGTTTACAAACAGTGATCATGTGGAGAAAGTATGTCCGTGATGCTGACCAATCATTTTAAGTTCCTCTTGATTTGTTACCAAGGTAAGACGAACTAAATACAAACCCTCACGTATTACTATTTCGTCTTAAATAAACAAAGTTTGTGCTTAACATATGACTCACTAGTAAAATTAGAATCCCGAATCCGAGAAAAATATTCATTGCAATTAAATAATATGAAACAAAATGAAATAAAAAGAATTTTAAACCTTACACAAAAGCAATTTTCAATCACATATACGTAATAATTGAATTGGTAATGACTGAATGAATCACGTATGCACTTAAATGTGTGTATGTATGCGTGTGCGTGTTTGTGTGCGTCTGATTTGATTTTTACCGTAGCTTAAAAAATATTAAGTGATATCTCTACGACGACTGCATTGTGACAGTTTGCAGTGAAGTCTAGCAATGGGGCATCATGCCGCAGACATGTTGCATGATGTCCCATCCAGTTACATTATCCTGACACCAGGCCAACCAGTCCTAGCACTAGCCTAACAATGGAGCTGCTATTACCATATTTATCAGTCTTTGGTATGAATTAGCCGGGGTTCAAATCTGCGACCTCCGCATCCGAGGCTGAAGCTGTATCATCAAGGTCATTGTCGTAGATCGATATATTAAACTTTCTCTCACATTTTCTATTCTATGACGTTTATGCCATTTAAGATTATCGGATAAACTTCACATCTTTCGCATCATCATTAGAAGGTGTGTCGCGAATCCCACTGTTTCTTCCAACTATAAAGGAAAAATAACGACACGAAGCTCTAACTACTAGGCCACCGGATCGGTCCACTTTAAAGGGTATGTCAGCATTAGTGTAATATTTAAAACAGCGAAATGAAGAAGAAACGCCATTTAAACCGCATCTTCATAAAAACAACAGAACTATTGTAAGAAAGATCTGCCAGTGGCTGACTTTTATATGTGAAATGATTGCCTTAAATCTTGTGATGACATTTTGTTTGATTAAGAAAACTACCGTTATGTTTGCTTCGCGTCTCTGCGCATATTTGGATACTTCGAAACAAACATAGATGTCTGTTAATCAGTTATGACATATAAATCTGCAAAGTTAGTGCATTGTTTTGGATGAAATGAATGTATAAAACAATAAAGTGAAGTTCATGCTAGCGTATATCAATGGAAATTTAAAGTGGCAGTGCAAGTTTCTACATGACAAATAATTTGATATGAGTGTATGTTACGGTTCTATGATATACGCAATCTGTGGTAACGAATAATTTAATGTGAGTGAATGTTATGGTTCTGTGACATAAACATTCAATGGTATCATGGTATAAGCTATGTAAAGTTGCATTATATTTGTATGTGCCAAGGTATATAAACCAAAACTAATACTTGCCAGTACACATGACAATGTGCACGGATGAACTTTGTTTCTAAATACTTCTGCCTCTAAAATAGGAAATTAAGAAACGCATCGTAGCTATGTTAAGCAAAGAAAAGAAAATTTAAACATTTACAGAGATTTTGTTTATTTTTTAATTTCCTTCACGTCGTGGGTCAGGTTACAGCTGACCTCGCTCTTAACCCACATCGCCATCGCTGATCAAAATTCTCACTTCAAACTTAAGCAATGCGAGATTTCAGAGACATGGAGTCTCTCCGATCAAATCTTTTGTGACGGTATTTCAAAAATAATGTCTGAGGAGTGGAATAAATTTCTTAGATTAGATACGGAATGCAATTAATCTCACTAATGCGTATACCGTTGATAGTGCCGACGTGCGTGCATCCCGTCTGAAGCCGACGCTTACCTATCAGTAAGACGATCTACTGCAATTACCACGCTCTTGTCAAGCGGTTACAAATTGCCGTGAAATGTTTGACAAATGGGTGCTGCCTTCAGAAATTCGTAGATTTTGGGAATCGTCATTTTCCTCTTAACAAGTGTGTGATCAGCTTTTATTCAATACGTGAAGTTATTTTGTTATTGAGTAAAAATACCTGTTTGAAAGAACAGACTGAAATATGAAAAATGCGTGTGTTCTGACGAAAGGTCTGAAGGTGGCACAAAAAGAAGGTAAACTGTCATAAATTTTTATCAACGTCAGAACATCTTTTTATAGCAGCAGATAAGATTCAATAGCATAATTCCCCAGCAAAAAGGGTGATCATGTCAAATTCGGAGGGAAAAATCCGCATGTTTGTCATTTTCGAAGAAGCAGCTGTCTAATCGGGGCGTGAACTGCATTAGCTTTAGTGAAAAAGGGGAGTTTTGAAATTTATCTTATTAATCTGATATCATGCACGTAAACACACTGAAACACTGATGGCGACGTAATGAATTATTTTGGTGAATAAGAAGAAAGCCCAAATTAATATCAGTCATCTTTTTTTTCGATTCCTAAGAAGTCCGCAAAAATGACATCTCCGCCGCATG